GAAGAATTGAGGCAGTTCTGAAGGCAAAAGGGGGTCCAACCCGTTATTAGCGTGGTGTACCTAATAAAGTGGCCGGTGAGTGTATATAGAACAGTAAAATGTCAGTTCTGATGTTAACAACCAAACAATTTTACTGGCACTTTTAGCTTAAGTTTTGGCAAATTAAGAACAAGGAAAGGACGAAAGTAAAATTAGTATGTTACTATGACTTTTACTTTTATCAAAGTGTGGGTCAACTGCATGTCTTTTCTAAGCTCAGGTTCCACATGACACGTCACTCCAAACACATCAGCTTTATCTGATGATGACTTGAAAAAAAATCCATGAGATTGCTCTATGCGTCCGTATACCTGCAAAATGACATAAAATCCTTATAACTTACGGACAATCCATACAAGTTGACATGTATGTAGATTTTATTTTATTTACCTCAATGTTGATTTGATCTGAGCAGAACTGAAGTTCATAATGTTGTAGAAGTTGGTCAAAGATGAGACTATGAATATTTTGAGTCTCTTTATTCAGAACATCTTACAACTTCCAAAGAAACCAAAAAAGTCACACAGCAGGTTCAACAGTCGGGAAAGTCCCTCTTCAGTCTCCTGGGTTTCCCCTTTTTATTCTTCACAACAAGAGCCAGACATTCAGGTGTGAAATATTGCCTAAAGTGTTCACCACACAAGCCCCCCCCCCCCCCCAACACACAGAATGTTAAATAAACTCAAATCCATGGAGAATAAAACAGAAACCAAAACAAACCAAAGAAAACTAAACCCTCGGAGAGTTGAACGGTGTGCATCATGGCGGGTGAAAAACGTATTCCGCAGACATAAGGTCATTTGGCACAAATCATTGTGGTAGGCAGTGATGTGTTGCCAAAGGAGCAAAAACCTTAGCCCCTGCTGGAAGGGCCACCTTGCTGCCAACAGGAGCAACAGAATCAGACTGGCAAGGCAAAAACTCCCCCGGCACTCTCAACGGTTGCCCCAGGACCAACTCAGCTGACAAAAACCTCAGGTCTTCCTTAGGAGCTGAACGCAGTCCCAACAACACCCAAGGCAGCCGATCGACCCAGCTGTTATCCACTAGTGAAGCCCGCACAGCAGCCTTCAGAGTACGGTGGAACCTCTCACAAAGGCCATTGGCCTGTGGGTGATACGCAGCAATACGATGAAGTTTAACTCCAAAGCTCTCAGCCACGGCTGTCCATAAGTCTGATGTGAACTGTGGACCTCTGTCCGATGTCAGGTCCAACGATACCCCAAAGCGAGACACCCAGGACGAAATGAATGCCCATGCCACATCAGCTGATGTGGTTGATGACAGAGGAACTGCCTCTGGCCAACGATATGTCCTGTCCACTTTCATCAAGAGATGGGTGAACACACGAGATCAGGGAAGCGGACCCACTAGGTCCACATGGACATGCTCAAACTTTCCCTGGGGAATAGGAAATCACTCCAGGGGGGCCTTGGTGTGCCGTTGGACCTTAGCATGCTGACAAGACACACAAGAAGCTGCCCACGATCTAACATCCTTCCGAAGGCCCGGCCACACAAACTTAGCACCCACAAGCTTAACTGAAGCCTTGACTCCCGGGTGCGAAAGGGAATGAACTGTGTCGAAAACCTGTCGACGACAGCAAGTGGGAACCAAAGGCCAAGGTCTGCCAGTGGAGACATTGCAAAGCAGAGTCGCCCCACAGTCATTTGTAGCAGGAATGTAAGAAAACAGTTCCACACAAGAACTTTGAATCAGTACTTCCTCCTCCTCCCATATCTATAGAGAACAATGGCTTTCTCCACTGTCCTCGCCCCTTTTCTCCACTGTCTACAAATGCTAAAATAAACAGGAACTGCAACCTTCCATTGATTGAGCCCTGTTGTGAGATCTCTTTTAAGTGTTCAAAATGGCTGTTTATAACAAATGACCAACCATTTGCCCAGACGGAAAGTCTCCAAAAGTGGGTTTACAATCTACATCTAGACCCCAAGAGACGGTGTCCCCTGCTGAGATAATGCCCACGAACTATCTTCAAAGACATGCCTAACATACAATCTCATTTATCGTCTTAGAGCGCCCCTAAAGGCTAGTCTCATAATCACATCATGAGCAAATGTTTTTCCGGGTAAATTTCTGTTGTTTGGTTGTCTGATAAAAAAAGAAAAAGAAACAATGTATTGTTCTATCATGACTCAATCATTGCGATAATATCTTGATTTAATCACTGTACAGGTAACCACGGCAATCTATGTTTTGTTCAATCATTTTAGCAGCAGAACCGTGATCTCAGTGAAATGGGTGACACTCCATGTGACTATCTCTCAGCCAATCAGAAGTTTGTAAAGTCAGGACAAGAGATAGCATTTTTATTATTTCAGTAGTCTAGAAACAGTAGCCAGAGAGAACAGAACAGGAGTTTCAAGTTCCTTCATTCCCTTCAGGGACATTTATTTTAATTTTAATTTTTTAGTTTAATTTTTGTAGTGTAGGGACGCGATTTGTTCGGGAAACTGAGCTGACCAGAACTTCAGTCCGATCCATTTAGACCCGAACCGACTTTCTTATCTGTAGCTTGAAGCCAACCCCAGACAGCCTCGGCGTGTCCAGCTGTACCCGAACGGGACCCCCTTTGATACCGAGCGGCACCGGTGGCCATCCTCGCTCAAATCTCCTGGTACCCTGGGGCAGAACTGACCTGGTTCACGTGGAAATGGCAGGAAAGAACATCTTTCTATGTGTTTGGTGGTGTGCTCAGCTGAGGTGGTGAGAGAGAGAGAGTTCTGGCGCTCGAAACAGACTCGGAAGGAAGAGCTGACGAGTTAATTTCCCTTAGAAATCACGTCTCCTCTTGATAAATGAATCAACGTTTTCTTTTATTAATCTAGGAAGTTTTTACTCCTTTTGTTAGAATAGATAATAGTGGGTTGTGATTCTGTAGCATAAAATTACTAGAAGGAGTTGGCTGAAGTGATATCACTTGTTATTTAAATTCATAGCAGTTGGGATAGCTAATGTCTTTACTTGCCATAAACAACTTGTGATGTAATTTTTCTCTCTGAATCCATGAATATAGGGTATTTTGTGAAATTCATGTTCTGTCTCCGTGTCTTTTATTTGTGTCCACTGTCATAAACTGAAAAGAGCTCCGTCCTCCAGTACATGAGATTAAGTAAAAAATACAAGATTAATTTCCTGTTAGAGCAACAGGTGGTGCCCCTTTATTATGTTAATAAATTATTAGAAAACATAATTTAGCAACTCTTCATTAATTAAAATCCTCCCACACATGAAAGGAGACATCCACCAAACACAAACTGGACTCAGCTGTCTTAAAAG